GGAAAGAAGTGGACTGTTTTGCAATGGCCAAGTCAATCACCTGACCTGAATCCGATTGAGCATGCATTTCACTTGCTGAAGACAAAACTGAAGGGAAAATGCACCAGGAACAAACAGGAACTGAAGACTGTTGCAGTAGAGGCCTGGCAGAGCATCACCAGGGATTAAACCCAACGTCTGGTGATGTCTATGTGTTCCAGACTTCAGGCTGTAATTGACTGCAAAGGATTTGCAACCAAGTATTGAAATGTATAAGTTTGATTTATGGTTCTTATTCTGTCCCATTACTTTTGGCCCCTTAACAAGTGGGGGGCACATATGCAAACTGTTGTAATTCCTACACCGTTCGCCTGATTTGGATGTAAATACCCTCAAATAAAAGCTGACAGTCTGCAGTTAAAGAACATCTTGTTCATTTCATTTGATATCCATTGTGGTGGTGTATAGAGCCAAAAATGTTAGCATTGTGTCGATGTCCCAATATTTATGAACCTGACTGTAGCTGTTTTTTGCAGTGTACACAATGCAACCAGCTGATTAGCTCCCAACTTTCACCATACAGCTAAACTGTCCAATTTTCTCTTGCAGGAAAGGTGAGATGTTCTTTCCCTGATGTGGACACAAGATCTTTAAAAGAAGCAGCTCGCAACAAGCTCTCAAATGAGCGCAAGCTTAGCAGCCGTGGGATGTACTAATTTTATTTGTTGTTTTTATTGTTTATTTTATTTGTTTGCATTTGCTTTGTCATTGTTCTTTTCCCTGGTTTGTAAGGTAAGAAAATGTTTGTGAACACTGATGGTATGTGTTACAAATAAAATGTGTTAAACTGTAATACGACAAGTGTTTTATGGTATGTCACATTCTAACATCCTACTGTGGTACTTTGTCATCTTGGGCTAATTTATAAAATGCTTATGACATGCGTACACCTCTCTTTCAGCTGTAAAATCTGTAAATTGCAAGTGATTATGAAAATGGATGCAGCTAAATGGTTTCAGATCACCACCTTAAAATGACACCTAATTAATGTCATTAACATATAGAATAGCACCACTCAACATCAAAATCATTTACTTTAGAATAGCAAGCGGCAAGAATGGCTTAAATTTACAAAAACCTGCTGGATTTAATAATCAAAAGTACATACATCTGTTTTCATGTTAAAGACCATTTTTATAAATATTAATGTTGCTGTGGACTTTAGTGTACACACATTCTAAGATCAAATTTGTGCATGTACACACTTTATAAATGAGGCTGTGTATATCATCTCATGATCACTAAAGTCTTGTCTTGCATGTTTACTACATATATTTTCAGATTATGACAAGTATGTAAGTAATAACACCAGTTATCATGGACAAACAACACTTGTAGGAATACCACAGAATGCTACCCTAACTTAAAAGGTTAAAGGAATACCACAGAATACTGCAAAAATGTGACAATTAAGGGCCACGGGTTTATTACAGGAAATTCATAGTATTACTGCAGAAATATGACTATAATGACACAAGAATATCTCAGCAGTATTGCATACTGTACAACACAGAATCCTGTGGTAAATACTATATTAATGTGTAAGTAATACCACACATTACCGCAAGAATATTACATACTGTACAACAAAATCCTGTGGTAAATACTACAAAAATGTGAAATTAATACCACACATTACAGCAAGAATATTACAGGAATATTACATACTGTACAACATAATTATGTGGTAAAATGTCCCAAAAAACAACACAATACTACACAATTACCACACTAATTTTATGTGGTACTTTTGATGTGTTACCAAATGTAATACCACAGGACATTTTTGTAAGGGTAGTACAGTATATGCTCTTCTTGTTTTATCCGGTTCATTTTGTGTTTAAATGCTAAAATGATGTAATTTTTTGGGGCCAGGAACCAATTAATTGGTTTTCCATTATTACTTATGGGGAAAATTTGATCACAACTCAAACTTTTTAGGATTCGATCCGGAGTTCTGAACGGATTAAATTCGAGTTCTGATCGAGGTACCACTGTACGTTTAAATGCAAAATATATTTTCTAAAAATACACAGAAGTATAATGTCAGTGTTGTGAATTCTTTCGATTTGGGACTCTTGCTCTGATAACTATATTGTTTCCGTATGGGGCTTTTATCGCAGCATATATTAGTTTAGAGGTTGCCGGGTAAAAGCGGAGGTTGCCATTTTTTTCTCTCTCTCTTCTTACAGCGCCGAGCTGAAGCAGAAGTCACTGCTGATGTAAGCATTTAATGTTCTAATCATATGAGTGTCACACGATCGTCTATGCGATGTTTATATGGGTTAGCGGAGATTATACAGTTGTGTTAGCCCTTGCCGAGAGTTCGCTTGACGAGTAAATATAACCCGGCTGCGTTCGCCGGTTGGACGCATTTAGTGTTAGTTACGCCGATGTCCTAATGCATGGATCTGTTAATGTTTGTATAAGTTAATGGATATAGGCAGTTCGTGTAGATAATGCATAGTTCTAATTATAGTGATTTGTGCTTCAGTGCTGAATGTATTGTTGTAATAGTGTCATGTGCCTCAATGTCTTTATTCTGTTTATGTCTATTATAGAGAATTCTGTCTATAGTCCACGTCGCAATCCTGTTCCTTGAGTGCTCAATTTTATATGTGGAATCTGCTACAGTACGTAGTAAAGTTCCTAACTTTGTCTAACGACTCAGTGCTCTCTGACCGGAGCCCTCCAGCGGTCGATCACATCGGGGTAGAATCCCTAACAGTCAGTGTATTAAAAAAATGTGTAAAGAGAATGCATTTTTATTACTTTTAGCGATCAAAGCATACTGTTAAAAAAAATGTAGATTCTACGGTAAAACGCTGGCAGCTGGGGTTGCCAGAATTCCACCGTAAAATGATGGGTAACATTTTTTTTCTTTTACGGTTGGCAGACATTGTCATTGTTGTTTCTGCGGTTAAATCTGGTGCTGGAGTCAATGTTTTACTGTAAAAGAAAAAGTTTTAACTTAAGGAAAAAACTATGTTTTTCCTTAAAATGAACAACAAAACAACCTTTAAAATTACATTTGTGCCACAAAAAACAACATCTATTCCTTGTAAAATTAACTATCAAAACTGATAAAATACAATACAACTTTATTTTGTAAAAATTCCCAGAATTCATAAAAAAATGCTTTGCAGTTTCCCCTATTTAATAATTATGATTAATAATAATTTAGAGATGACATGGAAAACTTTTATGAGCTAACAAAGGTTTTACCTAATGGGATATATGAAATAGGATCACCTTTTGCTGGTTATTTCACAATGAATGATCAACTACTACCTCATTTCAGGCATACAAATAATTTTTAAGTCCAAATAAATTGTTAAGCCAGCTTAGTAGTTACCTTTTTCAGAAGGAGTTTTTTTAATCGGTCTATTCTGTAAGCTTAATACACAAAACATTAATTTATTAAAATTTATAAATGCAACACAAATGTCCACCTTATATTTCAAATGA